ACTTTTCTTTTGATCTTGACATGATCTCTTTAGTTCTGATTTTAGAGTCCTATTTGGGGGTTAAAGCATTATCTCTTGACAGTACAAGGAAAACAAGTGGTCATGCCTCAGACTGGCTGGGTATGGAATGAGGACAAGGAGGCTGGATAGTGGGGAGGGGTGAAGCCTGGCCCAGGGTACCTAAGGGACAGGTGGGAAAGGAGCCACAAATGTGCTTTTAGCCTTCAGTTTGTTCAGGTTGGGGCTGCAGCTAAATGTGTTTGCTAAAACCTATGATTCTTTGTTTTCATTTAGCTACCATCACCAGAATCACCCAGCAACTTTGCTTTTGTGTCCTGACTGAGCTAGATGTAACTGAAGAGAAAAAGATTGAGAGGAAAACTGACTAGAGGCCATAAGTGACATTCCCTGAGGCCTGGAAAGCTGGCCACCTGTGGCCATAACCACCAAAGTCCAGATAACAAGACTATGTGGGCCTAGCCCTCCTGAATTAAAGGAGCCTATTGAGCCACATTCTGTAAGGGGACTCAGGGCCAGTGCTCACTCATTGGTAAGCTATGGGAGGAGACTCAGGGTTGGGGATACCTGAAGGTGGGGACCTCAGGGTAGAGGGGGGTTGGGGAACAGGGGAATGGTTGTTTAGTTTTGCAGTGTGAGTAGGTGCACCCCTGACATACTGGGTAAGTTGCTACAGAGGAGAGGAAGTGCTAGATTGATGGCTCTGATTGTGGTTCACAGCATGTGAAGTTTGAACCAAAAGTCTCTAAAGTGAGGATACTTTATGGGAGCTTTCCTCTGACCAGGTGCAACCTCCTGATGTTAGAGGCTCAAAATGCTACCATTTCTTCCTCTGGCTCAGAATTCTTCCCTGGGAAGAGGGTTATATTCCTTGTTTGTTTTGGGGGAGGCGCAAACAGCAAGCTTTATTTAACTGATGTGGGAACAGTGTCTCCCCTTTCCTGAATTCCACAAGAGAAATACTATTCTGTGTAATGGAACTTCACACTCAAACAATAAGCTTGACAGGAGGAAGGCTGTTCATGGTCTCAATGGTGGCCACTGAAGTTCCATATTGTCAAGGTTGACTTCTCATTTGTGTCCATGTGCTTAGGGAGCCACAGGATTTTGCTGTATACAGATTAGCCTTCTTTTGGAGGAGGTCCTGCCTGACTGAATTTCCCTGGAACACATTTGCACTTATGGTCAAAATCCTTAAGAAAAGAGGCAAGCTTCTGGCTCTGTAATGAGTTGATTTTGGCCATCTGCCTACCTGTACCTTCCTAGCTGGAACCATGATGCTTTGGCAGAGGCTGCAGTCCCAAAATAAGGGCTGGGGAAGACCTCCCTGTTCCAGCTAAGGGGGAGCAGCTCTGTGGCTAACTGGACACTGCCACTGCTACCACCAAATTCAAATTCCAGTATTCCTTTACTTATTGATATTTAACCTGGAACACCAATTCTAGCAAAAGAATGTTCATTAATGTATAGGAAATAATAGTCTGTGTGTGTTTAAAAATTCAAAATACCCCAAACCGAGTCTCTCTGCCCTGAGAGATGTCTCAATGTGGTGGTAAATCAGATTCTGATAATAGATTTTATGTTCACTTTCACACGATCTTCAGTTGAGTCTTACCTGCAAAAGTGAACTTTAAGGATTTTTAAAATCATGGACATATACTTTAGTTTATAGATAGGTCTTGTGTTACTAGCAACTGGCTCAGGTTTGACAAGTAGATATGAACAAATTTATGAGTCAGAAATCTGGTAATACTAATATTTTTGAAGGATAATCCTTTATTTTATTGAAACCTTAGGTCATTGTTCTAGTTGATACAGTTAATCTCTGGGTTTCTGGTATGAAGTTTGAGAGGGCTGAAATGTTCTGGAATTCAGGAGGGTCACCTGAAATCTATCCACTATCAGTAATTTGGGGGAACATCTTACAGACCCAAGTCATCAAATAACTTGTTCCTTTCTGAAAGGGCCAGTGTGAGGGACTGCTGTGCAGACCCAAGCAAGCCCACTCTGGTGCTGAAAGTAGTCATTTTCTTTTTCTGAAAACCTCACACCAGGCTGCATCCTGGCTTCTGTTATTGGCACCAGGCTTTGTTTACACTCCAAGCTGCCTCAGTGTGGGTCACAGGGATAGTGTACTCCTTTCCTGCCCACCTTCCCTTGCCCCTGAGGCCTTGCAGGGCTGCAGTCTCAGGAAGCACTTGGTACTTGTGGGACTTCTATTTTTTTTCCTGTGGAGATCAGTGAAGACTCTAGGGGAAAAGCTACTTCAACCTCAATCTGGCACCTCAGCTAACTTTCAAGAATGGAAAGCAACTAACTTTGGTGCTTAAGTTGGGCCACCAGGTCAGTCCAGAGCAGCAGGTTTGGCCTAATGGGATCTTCCTTCATGGCTGCATTGGATTATACAACTGTTCTGGGATGCCCCCAGATACTGTCATCTTAGGCCCAGAAGAACTTGTTGGTCTGGCACATCCCATGGACATCTTGTCTTTAGATTTTGGAATTGGTCGACAGTGAAGACAAGAACTGTGGGGCAATCTTTCCTTCTGATCATTCTTCACCAAACTGACCCCAGTTGCAGACAAGGTAATTACCTTGGACATATACTTGCTTAATAAAGTTTTAGGGGAGCATGATCAGTTGTCTTTGGTTCAGGGCATGCATCTATGAGAATATGGGGGGACATTCCTACTGTCATGGGTTGGGGATTTGTATACCAAATTCCTGTCTGATGACAAGGAGTCTTGTGCAAAGGCTGACTTGCCTAAACTATATAAATATGATTTCTGTCTGAGCTGAGCTGGCACCATCCCAGGGCTCCTCTGGAGCTAATCCTTTAAGCATTATGCTTATCTGAGGATCCTTGACTCTGGCTTTAGTGTTTTCCACCCAATAACCAGCTTCTCCCAGGAATGTGCCGCCCCCCAGTGGCTTCTCAGAAGAAGGGACACCACACTTCAGGTGCTGAGTGCTTGCTTAGTGAGCCATGTCATCTTCCTCTCATTACTGAAGGATGACAACATTCTTCCTCGGTGTTGGGTACAAACTTCTCTTAGAAACCCTTCTGTGGGAGGGAAGCCAGACACCCTACAGACTCAAGTTTCATAGTGGAATTAGTTCCCACCAGGTCTTTGTTAAATCTTACTAAATCCTTCTCCTGGTGTGCTAATCCCTTTTGCAATGGTACAGTTTGTACCCTTTTCAGTAGGTAGTTTGTGAAGCTGTCAGCCCTTTAATGTTGATGAAACTTAATGAACACATAAACAGCAGTGAGTACATTAAAATGGCAAAGTGGTTTTTAATCCTTCATTTCTGTGTCTACAGAAGGAGACTAGTATTAAGCCTGTGTTTAGGTTTAATTAGCTGCAGTAATAGCCTGAGTACAGAGCCTAATAATTTTAGCAGATTTAACAATTCCATGTAGATAGGAACAAATGTAGGTAAGTGCTTATAAAATGGACATAAAGTAAAAGAATGGGTAGAAGTAGGAAGGGACAAGTAGAGAAACCTATAAAATCTTGAAAGAGATGAGAAGAAGACTTCTTCCTGTATATTTCACTTTCCTATGTGATAGAGAAATAGGGTGAGACGGCTACCTCAAATGGAAAGTTTTATGTGTTTCTCTAGACCTGTGCTACCTAGTAGCTAATGTAGCTAGTTAAAACAAAGTAAAAAATTCATGGCCAAGTATGGTAATCTCAGCTACTCAGCAAACAGGCAAGAGGAGTCCAAATCTGAGGCCAGCTCTTAGTGAGACCCTTTCTCGAAATTTTAAAAAAATTAAAAAGGGCTGAGATGTAGCTCAGTGGCACAGCACTTGCCTAATGTGTAAGGCTCTAGGTTCAGTAGAAAAAAAGAAAGAAAAAAAAATTCAGTTTCTCAGTTGCACTAATCAGATTGCAAGTGCTCAACGGCCACATGTGGCTAGTGGCTACTATTAGAGAGTATAGATATAGAACATTTATCACTGCACAAAATTCTATTTGACTAGAATCAATGCCAAACAGTTAAGGCAGCTGGGATTTTGGAAAGAGTAGGGATAGAGATTGCTTACAAGAGATTTAAAGTTTGGGCACCAAAATTTGTTCTGTTCATATATAGTTTGTTTTCCCTATCCATAAATTTTGCATTCATGGATTCAACTAACTGTAGATTAAAAATATTTTTTTTGTAGAAAAAAAAACTACTTATACTAAACATAGTTTTTGTCATTATTCCCCAAATACAGTATATCAGCTATGTATATTGCACTCTTTTTTTTTTGTTTTGGTACTGGAGTTTGAACCAGGGGCACTCAACCAATGAGCCACTTAGGGCCTTGCTAGGTTGCTGAGGCTGGCTTTGAACTTGTGGTCCTCCTGCCTGAGCCTTGTGTGAGCTGTTGGGATTACAGGGGTGTGCCACAGTGCCTGCCTGCATTAGATTTTATAAATAATCTGGAGATGACAAAGTATTTGAAGGATGTGTGTAGGTTATATGCAAATATTATGTCATTTTATACAAGGGACTTGAGCATCTGTGGATTTTGGTATCCACAGGAGGTTTTTGAATCAGTCACCCACAGATACTGAAGAACAATTACTGTTTTGGTAAGAAACACTTCTCGATAGAAAGCCAAGTTCAGGTTATGCTTACTTCATCCTCCCTTGCTGTGAGATCTTCATGTCTAAGGTTAATTCTGTAATTTCTACCTCATTAACCCCCCATTTTTTTTTATGGGGGAATGTCAATGGAAAAACACCTAAGATATTCAGATTTAAAAGGTTTTGAAGAGTTGGGTGTGTTAGTGCTTATTTATAATCCCAGCTACTTATTAGGCTAAAGGAAGGAGAATGATAAGTTTGAGGCTAGTCATTTAGTGAGACCCTGTCTCAAAAAAATAAAAAGGGCTGGAGGTGTTGCTTAGTGGTAGAGTACTCCTGGGTTCAGTTCCCAGAACTGCAAAAAAAAAAGGGGGGAAAAGTTTTTGAAAAATTGCTTGCTTCCATATTAAAAGTTAATCTTTATTAAATAGTATCACATTCATATGCATTGTGCCTTGGCCCCATTACCAAAGGACAACAGCAATCTTTACAACCATTATTGAAGTCCGAAGCAGGGAGGACAGAGACTTATTGACTAAAACCTCCCAGCTCAGATTCCACATTCTGCCCTAATAGTTGTTATAACTGGGTTGTGCCCTGCAAGGGACCCACTGTAGCCCTTCTAGATCCCTCTATCGAAGAGAGCAGGCTTTTACTGCAGGTAGGCAGCCTGGAGTGGGGTGGGAGGAAGCAGAATATTACTGCTAATGAAACAAGTGTCTCTCTTTCCCTTCTGGCTTCAGCATGGGAGAACTGGAATATTAGGAAAAATGCCTGGGCCAGGAAGTGAAAGGAACTTCCATTTTTTTTTCCCCCCCAGATGGTAGGGTCTTTTTTGATAGAGGTCAAGTAGCCTACTGTGAGTAGAAAAGATGTACTCCCTTAAGTTTTCACTGCTGGGGTGGTACTATTGGGTCTGCTTTTTCCTTCCACATGTTCAGCTAGGAATCCTAAGAGCATGTTGCTAGGTCAGTTGATACCAGTCACAGAGCCCTCAAAGGCCTGTGGTAGAACCTCCTGGATATCACAAGACCATCAATCTGAATCCAGGTCGTGGGGGTTGTCATAGCCAAACTCCTTCTGTACATCCAGAGGGTACTTGCTCCATACCAGTCGCCTGCTGCTGCCTCTTTCCTCTTCACTGAGGCTGTTATATTCATCAGAGTCTAGATGGAGACACCAGGAATGGATTCTTACTCTATGATTTTATAGGGTATGGCAAGAACTCCTTCCCTTCTCAAAAAGGTCTAATTTTTTGTTCCCCATTATAAAATACTTTTTCAGTAAATAAAATCTAGAATGTAGAACATTTTTAAAGTATTCATTCCCACCATCTAACCAAGTCCCTAATACTGGGAGTATTTTGTCACTTTCCCCTTTGGTAAAATTCTTTATTATGAGACATCAAAAAATTATTTTTATTGGCTGTACTCAGAAGAATGTAGTCACCAAAGAAACTGAGTTGCCAGGATATCCTTCCTCCTTCTTCCCCTAATACTACGACTGTGTTATATCATTCTCTAAAGAATTGGAAATGTAGAAATTTTTTGAAATTATTTGGCAGACTTGTGAAAATCCTGGGCCTATCCCTACTGGCAACCCTCTTTCTTCATTATTCCTAGATAGGAGCAGGGAGAGGGGCATCGGGCTAGATGTTTTAACTAAATCCCAACCACTGAAGTTGGTGCAGTATTGTCTCATTTTCCGAAGGAGAAATGAGGCTTATTGGAGTAACTTGCATAAGAGTCATAAGAAGGCAATGACAGAACTAAGGATCTGAACTGACATTATGCTCCCAGCAGTCCTCCTGGAAATACAGTTCAATGGCAGAGAAGGAAATCAGTTGAGATGTACCTGTCAATTGCCTTCATCTCAGACTTGGATCTTATCAGTCCCTCCCTATCCAGTCTTCCACCTACCTCTGGAATCATCACCATCACTGCTCTCTTCCTCTGGGTACTCGTTGCGCCAATTATTCTCACTGTTCTCATCATCTTCGTCTTCATAAATGTCATCTGGTTGTTGATCATCATTTACCTGCACATCTCAACACAAACATGAGTCTAAGTCAAATCATCTTAAGGGTATGCTCTTTGGAGGAAGCTATTAGGATACTGGGGAGATTCAGGTGAAAGTACCATGTGAAAAAGGCAGATTAGGAGTTAGTTCAACTGCTATACAAGGGACTATGATAATCTTAGGCTAAGAGGAGATGATTCAACTCCACCAGAATGGAATGCAGAGGAGCCACAGCTCTGAGCAGGTAATGACAGCAATCTTCAAACTCCTGGAGGGCCACCAGATGGGAGAGGAATTTTATGGATTGTGGGTGATGCCAAAGGTCAGAACTAAAACACAATATGAGGAGGTGCACAAAGGCAGGAGTAGGAACTATGTAGTGGTCCATGGTGGATGCCTGACAGCAAAACTATGGATACAGTGCAGGTACAAGAGAAGGTACTTAACTCTTACAATTTGAGTATATCAGGTGCCAACTACATCTTTCTCATTAATCATATTAAAATTTAAGAATATGGTGTTAGGATGTTAGCTTTCATCATCCAAAGTTTTCTCCTCTTTTAATACAATTAAAATAAAAACTTCTGTGCACACCGGTAATCCCAGCTACTCATGAGGCTGAGGCAAGAGGATCACAAGTTGAAGCCAGTCTCAGCAACTTAGAGAGACCCTGTCTCAAAATTAAAAAATAAAAAAGGGTGTGGCTCAGTGGTAGAGTCCTTGCCCAGCATGCATGAGGACCTGGGTTCAATCCTCAGTGCCTAAATAAATTAATAAAAATTTAAAAAGGGCTGGAATGTGGCTTAGTGGTTAAGTGCCCCTGGGTTAATTCCTCAGCACCCTAAATAAATAAATAAATAAAAGCTTTTGTTCTCATTCATGTTAAGAATGTCTGATTTTGCCAGATGTAGTGGTGCACACCAATCCTGGTAACTTGGGAGGGAGAGGAAAGAGGATTACAAGTTCAAGGCCATCCTGGGTAACTTAGTGAGATCCTGTCTCAAAAGAAAAAGAAAAGGGACTGGGGATGTTGCTCAGTAGTGAAGTCTCCTTGGGTTCAATTCCCAGTACCAAAAAAAAAAAAAAGTTTTTACTTTGATTTTATTTAAGCCCTTATACATATTTAACCTCTAAAGTGGATAGCTATAAACAGGTAGCCATAAACAATGAAGATAATTTTGTAAACCTTGTAAAAGATTATGAGCAAAAATTATCAGTGCTTCTAAAAAATATCAACCCCCATCAGTCCCCTTGGAAATACTGTTCAATGGTAGAGAAAGAAAATTTGGGGGTATTTCCCAAAATTTCCTACACTAAACTCAGGTTTCTAAAAGACGTTTAGAGTAAATTTTTACTGCCATGTGAAAAATTTATTTCCTGCTGGGCACAGGGGCATATGCCTGTAATCCAAGCTACTCTGGAGGCTGATGCAGGTGTATCCCAGTTCAAGGCCAGCATAATCAACTTAGATACACCCTGTCCCAAATTAAAATTAAAAAGGTTGAGGATGTACCACAGTGGTTGAGAGCTTGCTTAGTGTGTGCCAGGCCCTGGGTTCAATCCCCAGTCTTACCAAAACAAAACAACAATAACAACAAAACCAATCTAGAATAAGTTTTTCCTTTTAAGTAAGAACAAGAAAAATGATGAGAAGTGAAGCCCGGAGAGGCAAAGCACCCTAACCAAAGAAAAAGTTTAGGTAGCCACATGCCCTTCTCCCTTCATTGACCTCCTTACCAGGTCCCACTCCTGGCTGTAGGGCTGCACAGAGAGGATATTCTCAATCCACCCTGGAGTGGCCATCTCCAAGTAGTAAATGTCATACACATAGTCATCGTGCTTTTGTTCCTCTTGGTGCCCGACTCCTGGTCCATCCTCAGATACAGTCAACCGCTCGCGGATCATCTCTACAGAATTGCAGAGGATCACATCTGGGTCAGATGTCTGTGAAAACATAATACAGGCATGACTCAAAACGTTTTCCATGAGGAACCGAAGAGTTGTGTGAAAGAAGGCCTGTTACAGTTCTGTTAATATTTAAGATTCTTATTCTCAGGCTGGGGCTGTAGCTCAGTGGTAAAGTGCCTGCCTTGCACGTGTGAGGTGTTTTTACAAAATAAAAGAAATCCAGAATGTCTGTAAAACTAACGGGTAGTCCTTCTTTTTGAATAAAAACCTATTAAGAATTCCTCCTGCTCTTTTGATCTTGGCTGACACAAAAAAACACATGGGAGCTGGGGTTGTAGCTCAGTGGCAGAGCACTTGTCTTACACATGTGAGGCCCTGGGTTCAATCCTCAGCACCATATAAAAATAAATGAATATTTAAATAAAGATTTGTGTCCATTTACAACTTAAAAAAAAAAAAAACAAAAAAAAACCCCCCAAGAAAACAGAACAAAAACACATGAGAACACTGGCCTAAAAAGAGGCAAAGGGAGTTAGATAAATTGGCCAGCTTGTTCCCAAGCTCTGAGTCAAACCTGCTTCTACAGATCTAGATCTTCTCTGAGTTCCTTTGGCATGATGTTTTCCCATTAGGGATCCACAGACCCAATCCACCTCTATTGCTGACCATAAAATGGGCTGGCATTTTGTGAGGCCACCTTTAGAGGCCTACAGGCAACTCCTGGGGACCACTACCATTGCTCATTCTTTGGCTTGCCCCACTGACATCATTTTTTTTTTTTTTTAATGGTATTAGGGATTGAACCCAGGGGCACTTTACCACTGAGCTACATTCCCAGCCCTTATTTTTATTTTGAGATGGGATTTTGCTAAGTTGGTGAGGCTGGCCTGTCCCTTGCAATCCTCTCATCTCCGCCTCCTCTCCTGAGTCACTGGGATTATAGATGTGCACTACCATGGCGGGCACTGACCTCTTTTTAAATCACAAATTGATTCACCTATCTTTTCTGCTCAAAAGAATAGCTTGAATGAAATGTCCCAGAATAGGTTTAGTCCAGGTAAGATGTAGTCCAGTGCTTATAAGATGTCTTATCCAGGGTCCTATAGCACAAGTAGGTATGGAAACTAGGGGGATGTACTGTGGAATGCCCCTCAACAGATTCATCACAGGAAGCTGCATAGCTCAAACCAGATACCTCATGAGAAAGTGGAGAGTGTCCCATGGTCAAAGCACACAGGGAGACTGAGGTTGTCATTTACAGGTTCAGAGGATTCTCCCATCAAAGTCAATGAAACTACAGATGCAAGTTTTTGTGCAGGCTCTTGAGCAAAGCTCTTTATGGGGAAAGGTTTAGCTCCAACACACAGGTCCCGACCTGTTGGTCCACTGAACACCACACAAATTCAGCTTTAGGGCCTTTGCCCTTGCAGGTCCTCTGCCTTGAAAGCCCCCGCCCCCCAACCAATGCCCTGTCATCATTCCTTCCCTTCCTTCCTTCCTTCCTTCCTTTTTTATTATTTTTTAGTATTACGGATTGAACCTAGGGGCTCTTAACTACTGATCCACGTCCTCAGCCCTTTTAAAATACTATATTTACAGACAGGATCTTCCTAAGATCGGCCTCTGCCTCCTGAGCTGCTGGGATTATAGGGGTGTGCCACCGCGCCCAGCCTTGCCATTCACTTTCAAGTCTTTACTTGAAAGGCTTTTTTCACAAAATTGGCACCACGCTTTCTCGCCTTTGTCCCCTTCTAACAATTTACTCGCTAACGTTTTTCTCCTCTGCTTGAATGTTTTCTTCTCTGTCCTCACTGTTGTATGCATATAATTTAAGAACAATACCTGGCACATAGGCACTCGCTGAGTAAATACGTGTAGAGTAAAAAATCAAATCGGTAAAATCTATTCCTAAGGTTAAGCTATGTGCGGCCACTTAACTAAGTGCTGCCCTCTGCGCAGACTCTTTCTGGTATTACCACCAAAGATGTCCAGCACCCACTTCCCGATGCATACTCACTTTGAAGGAGGCCGTGGTGTCAGCCTCTGGGTCTTCCTCCTCATGTACCAGGTCCAATAGCTGAAAGTCTGCATCCCCAGCAGCTTTTGGGGTTCCTGGCGCGTACACGGACTCCAGGCTGCCGGAGGTCCCTGAGGATCGGCGGCTGGAGACCACCCGGTAGCGGCCTTCTTTCCGCACATCGCGAGCTGAGGCGCGGAGATCGCGGCGGATACGCTGCTGGCTGCCCCGGGAAGGGCGCAAGGCAGCCCGCACGAGCTCCTGGACTGGCTCCTCCTGGAGAGCAGCAGGGGAAGATAGGGTAGCGTCAGCAAGGGGGTTGGAGATTCGGTTCCATCCCGGCCGCGACCCAAGATCCCCTCCACACAAATTCCATCACCGCCCAATACCTGAGAGTGCACGGTGGCCACCAACTGGAAGACATTATTCTCCGCCGCTCTCTCCAGACCCTCCGGTGTCTTCTGAGCAGCCGACTCGACATCGACATCGCCGCTCCGAAGGCGCTTACAAGCAAGCACAAGAGCCTCGGCTGGCTCCGCGGTGCGCTTCCGCTTCACCCGCAGCACTGCAGTCCTGCCGGCCTCCATAGCGGCTGTCGCGAAGCACTGTGGGAAGGCGAGGGATGCGTCGGGAGAACCCTCCAGTTGTGCTCCAGGTCCCGCCCCGTGGACGCCCGAAGGTCCCGCCCAGCACGCTGACCACGGCAAGATGGCGGTAGCGGCGGCGGCGGTAGTAAGCCGAGTGATTCCTGCGCCGGGTGAGAAGCTGGGCGTGCTGGGAAGGTGGGGTCGTAGTTGGAGTCCCGGCGACAACTAGCGTAGTGTCCTCTGCCTCAGGCTTGGGTGGAGGTGTCTGGCGTGGGCGTACTCGGATGCCGCGGTGTGCCCCTGTTCCGGACCTTTCCTGAGTACGCATGTGGCTGCTCGGAGCGCCCTGGCCGGCAGGAGAGTGTGTTTTCAGGCCAGCCCTGGCTTTTCGGTCCGGTTAGCAATGCCTTCGGTGGGCCAGTGGCTGAGCACAGGACGAGGCCTGTGTTACAGACAGCACTCTTGCTTGGTGCCTCGCACCACGAACTGGGCCACTGTTCCTCGATTAAAAAGCTCTGATGACTCGCCTTTTCTAGTCAGTGTCGTTGAACACCATTTCATATACCCAACGCCGTAACCAGGAGTGGCCCTGCAAAAGTGGGCACCTGATGTAGACATGCTTCTGCTTAAAACCCTTGGGTGACTCCTGTTGCACTTAGAATAGAATGCTTTTGGAAACCGAAAGGCCACGTGTATTTTGTAGAAGCTCACTTCTTTTTTTTTTTAATTAGTATTTCCATTATTTCTTTTTATTGCTGGGGATTGAACTCAGGGCCTCATGCATGCCAGATACACCAAAAAGTTTGAATTATTTTCTGACATCTAGTATAACTACCATTGAATATTTGCAATATTTTTGCAGCAATGATTATTTTCTATTATTTTTTGGTCAATATTTTGTTTATATAATTTATACAGAATGGCAGTGTTGCTGGAAATGTAACTCAGTGGTAAAGCACTTGCCTAGCATGCTTAAGGCTTGGGTTCCATCTTGAGCACTGGATAAAACAAACACGAACAAAAATGTGTAATATGCTGGGTGCTGAGGCATGGGTCTGTAGCTAATGGGGAGGTTATTTAGGAGGCCGGTACAAGAAGATTCCCTTGCTAGGTGCCATGGTGCATGCCTGTAATCACAGCTGCTCAAGAGGCCGAGGCAGGAGGATGGCAAGTTCAAAGCCAGCCTTAGCAATTTAGCAATGTCCTAAGCAATTCAGCAAGACCTTGTCTCTAAATAAAATATAAAAAAGGGCTGGGAGCTAGGCATGGTGTCACATCTCTGAAATCCCAGCAGCTCAGGAGGCTAAGGCAGGAGGATTGCGAATTCAGAGCCAGCCTCAGCAAAAGTGCGGCACTAAGCAACTCAGTGAGACCTTCTTTCTAAATAAAATACAAAATAGGGGTGGGAATGTGGCTCAGTGGTTAAGTGTCCCTGGGTTCAATCCTGGTACAGAAAAAAAAAAAAGAAGGAGAAGGAGATTCCCTTGAACTCAAGAGTTTGAGGCCTGCCTGGGCAATATAGGGAGACCCTGTCTCAAAAAAAAAAAAAAAAATCACAAAGAGATGGGATGACTTGAATTATCTAAAAGAAGGATCAGGGGGATCTGTGGTATGTATCACCACAACTAATTGGGAGGCTGAGGCAGGAGGATCCCATGTTGGAGGCCAACTGACAACCTAGTAAGACCCAGTCTCAAGATGAAAATGTTCTAGGGATATCGCTCAGTGGTAGAGTGTTTACTTTGCCTATGTGAGACCCTGAGTTCAACCCTCAGGACTGAAAAAAGGAAAGTCTGAAATAGAGTTCAGCAAATACAGCCTGCAGGCCAAATTCTTCTCTTGGCTCCCTATTTTTGTTTGGTTTTGCCTTTTTCTTTTTCTTTTTTTTTTTTTTAAATTTTTTAGTTGTCAATGGATTTTTACTTTATTTATTTACTTATATGTGGTGCTGAGAATGGAACCCAGGGCCTCGCATATGCCAGGCAGGTGCTCTACCCCTGAGCCTCAGCCCCAGCCTTGGGTTTTGCCTTTTTATCTTCTGTTGTTGTGGTATTGGGGTCAAAGGCAGGAAGTCCTGCAGGCTAGACAGGCACTCCACCACTGGGCTACACTCCCCAAAACAACTTTTATTGCTTTTCATTGTTAAAGGTAAAAATGATGGGAGGGAGGGCCTGGGCATTGTTTTGGACTGAGTTCCTGAACTGGGTCCCAAAAGGCCAGGCCAAACCAAAATGGAGTGACTCATGCTACATACCATGTAATCAAACTGGGACTTTCAGGAGGCAGTTAGATCCCCAAACAGACAAGTTTTCCTGGAAACGGGAGATTCCAGCCTACCTGAGTCAGGGTAGTAAGGAAGTCCCCGGGGCTTCAAACCTTATCAAATGTAGCAGCCTGGAGCAACCTGATCCTAACTACTAGGCTCTTGTTTTCTATTGTTCTCTTTCCCTGTTCCCACCTTACAAAGTCCACAGCTGGCCCAGGGGATTTGCATTCTAGTCTGTAGAATAGAAGCCAATGGAATCTATCATTAAATTTGCTGTAATTTTGCCTTTAACATAACCAAAGAACCCCAACCAGTGCTCCCTCTCTGGTTTCCCATGGCCCTGGGGACACAGTCAGAAACCTTAGCCAGGACTCAGGGTCCTCTGCACCCTGGCTGACCTCTCAGCTTTGTCCTTTGCTCCTGGCCCTCCCTATTTCCCCTCCAGCTCCTTGAGTCTCAGATTTTGCCAACTCTCCCTTTGGCCGCCAGGCTCTGATGCTTAGGCTCCTAATCAAGAACTTCCTCTTGCCTCTCAGAATACCTGCTTTCCCCCACCCTCAGGTAGCTGGATTTACTAACACTGCCCCTAAAAAAGAGGTCACCTCCACCTGCTCCTGATAGGCCCTGACTTCTCACTGACCCTACCCCTCTCTCACACCAGGTCCAGATTTCCTCACACCTTACTCTCCATTGACAAAAAAAAAAAAAAAAAGTGGGGTGGGGTAGGGGGAGGACTGAGAATGTAGCTCAGTGGTCAGCACTTGCCTAGCATGTGCGAGGGCCCTGGGGTGGATCCCTAGGATGACAAATAAAATAAGAAAAGTTTTGTTTTTGCAATTTTTTTTCCCAAATACAAAAGCTATTCAGCTATGTCTTCCCTTCTCCTGTCCTTTCCCACCCTTCTCTTCCTACATCCCTGCTGTTCATTGTGACTTACTGACTCTGTAGGGAGCAGGCCAGGCCTGAAGCTAGAAGCTCACTTCTAATCTCCTATTATTTCTTGTGCGGAAGCGCTTCATTCATTCAGGCTTTTATCACATTTTCTTTATGCATCTTGTTCTTTCTACTTTAGTTTATGGCCCTTGGAAAGTTGGGGTAAGCATTCCTGGCATATAAAAACTATGTCCCTAACTTTTAGCCTGGCTTGCGATGCAGGCTCGCAACTTGAATGTTGTCTTCTTCAGAGTCCTTCTGTAACTATTCTTTTTAAATGTGCCCTGTACACTTCCTTTCTTGCACTCACATAGAGTCTATTCTCTAAGGGGTCAAGGACCTCCTCTGTCTTATAATGGTGGTCCTATTTATCCCAGTCCCTAACACAGTGTCTGCTATAGAGAAGTTTTGAACGAGTAACTGAAATCTGACTAGTAATACAATTAGGGTTTGGCTTGATGATTTCCATTCATTCCTCAAATGTGAGTTCATAGCTTCTGGAGGATGTGGAAAGGGTCAGAGAATGTCTCCTGAATCTGAAGTGAGTGCTCCTTCTGAAAGAGGACAAGTCATACTAATATATGAGGGATTTATCCATGGAAGTGTTTACCTAGAAGTTCAGTCATTCATAAAATTGTTAATACAGGGCATGGTTCCCATCTAACAACATTTATTTGAGACTAGGGGTGTAGCTCAGTGGTAGAGCACTTGCCTACCATGTGATGTCCTCGGTTCAATCCCCAACACTGCAAGGAATTAATTATACAGAATTATAAAGCCAGTGACTACAGTTCTGAAAGGATATTGTATTCCTGGTTTTATCCACAGCAGTGTCACCGGCAGAAAAGGAATTCCATTGAACAAAGTTCTATACTACAATCTTGAATTTTAAATGACTTCAGAAGTGGTTGTACATGGACCACAGGATAAGGGTTTTGGGATTGTTTCCCACATAAACCCCTGCAACATGTTTTCTAATTCCCAATCCTTTTTTTTTTTTTTTTTTAAATCAGGGTTTTGCTGAGTTGCTTAGGGCCTTGTTGAATTGCTGAGTGACTTTGAACTTGCAATCTTCCTGCTTTAGTCTCCCCAGTTGCTGGAATTACAGGTGTGCACCTTCCTGCTTGGCAAGATCAATTAAATCTTGATGGAAAGATGAAAATAGTGATTAACAAATACTTCAATGACTTTGATATTTTTGTCAATTTCTTAATTCTTTTTTCTCACCTTTTGTTTTATTGTCGTCTTCTCATTTTTGGGTACCATGATTGAATAGATTTCTGACCATCAGATCTGTTCTTAAGAAGCAAACTGGCAAGGCTGCTTTTCTATCCAGACACTGGGGAGCTCGTGGCACCATGAAGGTCTTCTGTGGGCGAGCCAATCCCACTACAGGATCTGTTGAGTGGCTGGAAGAGGATGAACACTATGACTACCACCAGGAGATTGCCAGGTAACAAGGGCAGGTTCATAGTTGGGACTACAGCTGGATTGTGCACTCTTCTCAAAGCAGATGCCTATAATCTATGCTGGGATGGCTCCAGTAGACTGTCACTCAGTGCTTAATGATCATAGCTGGTGTTATTCATGAGCAGGTCTGTTTAACCAGGAAGGTATCTGTAGAGTTAGGTACAGTCATGCCCATTGGAGTGCCAGACATTTGTAGCTGCCTTACCAGTCTCAGAAGATCTATCTAGTATTGTAAAGAAGACCCAAGATTCAGTACTAGTGGAGTTGATGAAATTTTTGTATCACTGAAATGGTGACCCACTTACATAGGCAGATTCTCTTGAGTAAAAAAGAAAAAGAAAAATGCTTTTTTTTCCCCCTTAGAAGGAA